TGCCATCGCCCCGGTCCCCGCAGCTGAAGTCGCCTGGCCCGGCGCTGCTTTGGGCCCGTTTGGGTTGCGCCCCGCTCCGCTGCTGCCGCCTCCAGAGTTCGGGTTTGGTCCTCCGCCGGATCTATCCGCCTCCATTTTAACCGTTCAACCTTTCGCCAGGATAAGGAGGAGGAAACAAACAGAGAGTACGAACAATAATATTTTTTTAAAAGTACTCAAAACCCTTCTTCCAACACAGCAACACTTCTCTATAATCTTCCCTTCTTTCTTCCTTTTCTCACACGCAAGGGGCAAAATTACAATTCAGTTGGTAAAATACTACACTTCCGGTTTGAAGCCTTCAAGATAAAACTCGATTCAGCTAATTTTTTTTTACCATCTTGGCTTGTTTATTCACGAATACGCCACATTTAACATAGATTATTCCAAGGTAGCATGAAAACATGGCTATCAAATGTTTATAGTTTCTATCAGTCTATCTATCGTCAAACAAGTGTTACCATTTTGTTTGTGACTCTTATTTTGTATATACAGGATCAGTTCCCTGCTCCTTGTGTTTGTTGTTGGAACTGTCCTATGTGGGTGACAAATAAAGGGCCTTGTTTTCTGCAATACACAATGAACGTGTCGCTAGGGAGACACATTTCCTGCCATTTTGTGAGCAGGGATGTTAGAGAGCAATAAATTTAGCCAAAATTATCTATAATTTTGTTTCCAGTTTGAACCTTCATTAAAAATGTTTGTGTGTGATTTAACAAAAGGGTGGCGGTATAGTGGATGGCTCCTTCACATGCCGAACTCAGCAGATATAAATGTCTACCTGGTAGGTCCCTTCATATGGACATGGCAAAATCAGAGTTTTGTCACAGTCAATTTATATCAGTTAAAATCGAATAAAACAAGCTCAGGTTTAATTACCCTAACTCACTTGCATCATACTAACTTCAGGTTATTGAAGTATGGGAAGGAATTATAAATCGCTACGTATGGTATATGTTTTTAATAAAATTCTGTTTATTTTATTTTATTTATTGTTTTATTTAACAGCAACATTATAGGGCAATTAAAATGAAAAATTATCATTAAAATTACAGAGTTAGGGAATTTATTTAGAAACATACAGTGCTACAATACAAGTATAATTAAGAAGCTTAATGTTGGCAAAAACATTTAAACTGACGGGCTCAAAATGATAGTACTGTACAGTACGTAGTTGAAGCTAAAGGCCACATGTTTTTATTTTAAAACCGTAGAAATGAAATGATCGTGTGAGGATATATTTAGTACCAGCAATGGTATTTTTGATATTCAACTAATGTAGTTTTTGTGCAAAATCCGTTTATTTATTTTGCTGGAGCTTTTATTTTGAAGGATAGGAGCCGGAGGTTCTTCCTCTGTTGCTTCGGTTCACAGACGGCAGGCGCCCATGGGCAAATGTGATAGCTTAATGGTGAATACGTGCGGGCGGGTTTCGTGGCTGAGCTTGTGTTTAGGTACATAATGGTGGTATGTTTTGATGTGATTCTGGGTAGCTTGCTTGCTTGCTTTTGTTGGCTGCTATAGACCTCTATTGTCTAGTGAGGTGCTCTATATCTTGAAATACAACTGATTATGTGTTCATTTGAAGGCTGAAAGGAAAAGATGAATGTATTCTGAAAATACTCGTTATTTGATGTTTAAATGCTACTGGTGGCTGTTTGGCTCTCGGTGGTCATCAGCTGGAGGTCACAGAGTCCCTGTGTTTTCATTTACTGTCTAGTAATTACACGCCCTGGTTATCACAAGGTGTATGGTTAGCCCGTTAGCATCCTGTCATCCTGAGACTGACTGCGGGGCATGTGTAAGCTACTGTCACAAAGCCGCACCAAAGGAGCTTCTCGCAGTGTCAGTCCTGGCCATTATTTGGGTTAGCATTGCAAAAGCAGGAAAACTGTAAGGAAATGTTACCCTGAGTTCGTCTCTTTCAGCCTCCCAGCGGTATTTCTCGGCCTGGAAGCGTCCCCACTCGTACTGGATGAAGTGCGGCGCTGCTTTGGGCCCGTTTGGGTTGCGCCCCGCTCCGCTGCTGCCGCCTCCAGAGTTCGGGTTTGGTCCTCCGCCGGATCTATCCGCCTCCATTTTAACCGTTCAACCTTTCGCCAGGATAAGGAGGAGGAAACAAACAGAGAGTACGAACAATAATATTTTTTTAAAAGTACTCAAAACCCTTCTTCCAACACAGCAACACTTCTCTATAATCTTCCCTTCTTTCTTCCTTTTCTCACACGCAAGGGGCAAAATTACTATTCAGTTGGTAAAATACTACACTTCCGGTTTGAAGCCTTCAAGATAAAACTCGATTCAGCTAATTTTTTTTTACCATCTTGGCTTGTTTATTCACGAATACGCCACATTTAACATAGATTATTCCAAGGTAGCATGAAAACATGGCTATCAAATGTTTATAGTTTCTATCAGTCTATCTATCGTCAAACAAGTGTTACCATTTTGTTTGTGACTCTTATTTTGTATATACAGGATCAGTTCCCTGCTCCTTGTGTTTGTTGTTGGAACTGTCCTATGTGGGTGACAAATAAAGGGCCTTGTTTTCTGCAATACACAATGAACGTGTCGCTAGGGAGACACATTTCCTGCCATTTTGTGAGCAGGGATGTTAGAGAGCAATAAATTTAGCCAAAATTATCTATAATTTTGTTTCCAGTTTGAACCTTCATTAAAAATGTTTGTGTGTGATTTAACAAAAGGGTGGCGGTATAGTGGATGGCTCCTTCACATGCCGAACTCAGCAGATATAAATGTCTACCTGGTAGGTCCCTTCATATGGACATGGCAAAATCAGAGTTTTGTCACAGTCAATTTATATCAGTTAAAATCGAATAAAACAAGCTCAGGTTTAATTACCCTAACTCACTTGCATCATACTAACTTCAGGTTATTGAAGTATGGGAAGGAATTATAAATCGCTACGTATGGTATATGTTTTTAATAAAATTCTGTTTATTTTATTTTATTTATTGTTTTATTTAACAGCAACATTATAGGGCAATTAAAATGAAAAATTATCATTAAAATTACAGAGTTAGGGAATTTATTTAGAAACATACAGTGCTACAATACAAGTATAATTAAGAAGCTTAATGTTGGCAAAAACATTTAAACTGACGGGCTCAAAATGACAGTACTGTACAGTGTGTAGTTGAAGCTAAAGGCCTCATGTTTTTATTTTAAAACCGTAGAAATGAAATGATCGTGTGAGGATATATTTAGTACCAGCAATGGTATTTTTGATATTCAACTAATGTAGTTTTTGTGCAAAATCCGTTTATTTATTTTGCTGGAGCTTTTATTTTGAAGGATAGGAGCCGGAGGTTCTTCCTCTGTTGCTTCGGTTCACAGACGGCAGGCGCCCATGGGCAAATGTGATAGCTTAATGGTGAATACGTGCGGGCGGGTTTCGTGGCTGAGCTTGTGTTTAGGTACATAATGGTGGTATGTTTTGATGTGATTCGAGTGCACTAAGTTGTGTTTTTTTTTCTTAAAGCATTGCAGATCCAGTTTTAACCGCACTGCAAAAGTATTAGCTCACAATGCGGATGAGTCTGTCATTGCAGTCACAGTACCTATGCAAGATAGCTTTGCTCTTAACGTTATGCTACAGAGCTGGTTGAGATGGACCACCATGCAAACTAATGTAGGCTAGTACAAGCTTAATGGGTTTAACGCTGCTAAAGCATCTGATAAAATGGAAAATGCATGATATGATGAATTGCGTCCTACAAATTGTTGTCCAAATTAAGGTGAGTTTATGTCAGGAATTTTACCCATCTGTTTTTATTGATTGATAATGCACCTAGCCATATTCTATTTGTAAAAGAAACCCTTATTTGGAGCTATGGCTGCCCTTGTTTTCTCATTCAGAGTAACTCATAATGACTCGGATAATTCAGGGCACTGTTAGCTGCTGCAAATCAAATTAGTTTAAGGTAGCTTATATTTATAAAGTTTGTCTGTGCAACACTGTGAGATTAAAAGCTAAACACAATCACAGCAGCTTCATTATGTTTTTCTGTCTTTCTCAGGTTGCCCTCCACTCTCATTCCTCTACACTTTGATTAATGGGGACCTAAGAACCGCCATTGGTTTTCTTGATTGAAACTTAAATTCTGCTCCTGAGAAAATCTGGAAAGTAAACATCATTTGCCATGCGTATCAGTTTCTGCCAGGGCCTGTTAACTGGTGCCATCATCCTCAACCTACTCATTCTGTACTATGTGTCCCGGGCCCAGCAGCAAATGATGGAAAAGAGGAAGGAGCTTGGCAGGGGTTCGAGGAGGGCTGCCCCACCAGCCTCCGGTCTTGGGGGAGGCCTTGGGATATTTGTAGGTGCTGGAGGTGAGCCCGGAGTGGTTGGAGTGGAGGGACACAGTCGTAGCCCACGTGTGACTGTTCTTCTTCGGGAGTTTGAAAACTTTGAGAATTATGTTGGGGATGTGGCTAGTTCCTTCCTCCATCAGAGACCTGAGCTTCCTTTCCTGGCTGTAGCTGACACACCCCCATATCCTCCCCTGGTGCTTCCAGATGGGGCTCGGCATCTAGTGCTCTCCCCAAGCCCGGATCAGCCACCCCAAGCTCACAGGCCAGAGTTCCATGTCCAGACAGAGTTTGTGCTGCTGGTGCCTGATGGGGTGGAGCTGGAGCAACCTCGGGCTATCGAGAGGCTGATCAGGGAGTTGGAAGGTGAGGGCGGGGGGCCTGTGAGGCTCGTAGCTGCACCTGTGCTGGCGCGATCTGCTGTGCAGTGTCTCCACCTGCGAGTGAACCTCAGAGAGTGGACAGCCACATACTCTCTGGCTGCGTCTGGGAGCAGTGGGAGTGTGTGTACAGCTTTACAAGGAGATGCAGTTGTCCTCATTCGCACTGAGGATCTGTTCAACCTCTCTGTCCCTCTGGGGCGGCCTCTCTTCTCCTCGCTTTTTATCCAGACAGCCCTGAGGGGCTGGAAGGTTAAGCTGCTGGAGAGCCCCTGTTTCTCTGCAAATCACCGGCCCCTCTTCAGCTCCGCCCACAATCAGTGGAAGGCTGACACTCGCGTAAAGGAGGCATCTGCGAAGCTAATGAAGAGCTTTGGTTTGAAGCGTCTCCTGCTGCCTGATGGGAAAGAACAGTGGTATGGCTGCAGCAAAGAAACACCTCGCTGCTTTGGCACTGTTCAGGATGACACCCCAGACTACCTTTATCTGGATCGCTGGACACCTCCCTGTTGTCTGCGAGCACTCAGAGAAACCACCAAGTATGTTATCAATATCCTGGAAAGCTCAGGTGTGCGCTACTGGCTAGAGGGGGGGACTTTGCTAGGTGCCGTCCGCCATCAGGACATCATCCCATGGGATTATGACGTGGACCTGGGCATCTACCTGGAGGATGTACCCAACTGTGATCACTTGAAGAACCTGGATTCAGGTTCCCTTGTGGATGCTAATGGCTATGTCTGGGAACGTGCAGTGGAAGGAGACTTCTACAGAGTCCAGTACAGCGAGGCTAACCACCTGCATGTTGACTTGTGGCCGTTCTATCCACGTAACGGTGTCATGACCAAAGACACCTGGACAGAGCACAAACAAGATGTGGAGTTCCCGGAGCACTTCCTGCAGCCACTGGTACCCATGGCTTTTGCTGGCATCACCGCCTACAGCCCCAACAACCACCGAGCATTCCTGGAGCTCAAGTTTGGAGAGGGGGTGATTGAGAACCCCCAGTACCCCAACCCTGCAAAAAAGAGGCTGGACAGAAGCAAATTATGAGTGATAATAGAGACTGTTTGTTTACTTAACAACACAGGAAGTCTTGCCTCAACGTTTTGTTTGTTTGTTTGTTTTTTTTGCTGCTGAAAAACAGCCTAGAAGTTGATGCCTGTAAACTAATATGGTGCCAAAACAACTGCACAACAGTATAATCACATGCCTGGTCAATTTTACTTTCTTCCTGTTGTCAGTATTTGGATGTAAAGTCTAATGTCAGACTCTTTTTATTCTTTGTGAGTGGTGACAGTTTTGGTGCATTGACATCAGGCAAACCTTTGAGAGAGTGTTTTTACTACATGTCGTGCGTGTTCTACAGTATAAATATGACTGTAAAGATGATAAATACTTTGAAATGATACAGATATTGGTTTATTGTTAAAGTTACAGTGTACATTATCTTTATTTAAGGTACTGAACAGATGTTTATACATTTCTCGACTGTGGTGCATTGTTTTGCACATTTTATGAATGAATGTTATGTATATTGAGGCCATTTGGTACCCAACAATTGTAGTGTGGTGGAATAAAATACACTGTTGTTTATCTTATTACTGTTCTCATAAGGAGAGGATGTAATGTGTCTGTCAGGCATTAATATTCATTTAAAAACTTTAAATGTTGACTGAATATGTGAATGAATATAAACCTTTTGCTCAGCTATGTGTGTTACTACTGGGCACCCATTATGTACTGACTGAAATAGAATTTCAGTTCAGCAGATAATTCAAAGAAAGCATTTTAGAAGAGGCACTACACATTAAACAACACACCAGCTCCTCTGTAGTGTTGTTACTTGAGTGTATAATGGTGTCACTACATTTCATGTACTGCTAAAATAAATGAATTGTTACACTTGCATGTCTTAATTATCTCATTTTGAGGATTGTTGCTTTACAAATGCTTTGACAGGACAGAAAATGTGCAATAGCAGTTGCAATTGTTCTCATTACCACTAGGTGGCACAGTAAACATTTGTAACCCCTAAGCTTCCACACTAGGTCTTCAACATTTTAATGGGAGTTCCTCAGGCACATGGCAGGAGCCTAGGGGTGGACAATATAATGACAGTGCAAACAGGAATATGACATGACCGGAATGCAGTTTGCTTGTCCCTCACTGGTCCTGTGATGTAAACTATCTTGAAAATCCAGCTCAAGCTGAAATGTTTGTATTCAACACACACACACAATGTTTGTATTTAACAGCATTGCTCATATGTGGCCTGGTAATTAACTTAAACCACTGAGAGGCCACTTTATGTGTGGTTATTTTTGGATTCACTGGGTTTGAAACAAAAAAGGATCTGTGTAAATAAGTCTCCCCTGTTCCACGCCACTGCGGTGTGGCATCTAGAGGCCACTAACCTGGCAATGGAGGTCTCGGGCAGCTGCAAGTGTTTTTTAATGGCCACTATTGAACCCTGTATGCAAAGTTTAAACATACAAGGAAGAGCCAAAAAAGCACAGACAAATAATTTTAAAAAAGGTTTTATTGTTTAAATCCTACAGACAAAACATTTGGACTTTAACAATAAAATGTCTTTGAAAAATAAAGACCCCCAGTAAAACTCTTGACAACTACCATGCTAAAAAAAAACAACACATGATTGTACCAGACAGATATTCATATGCTGAAAGATTTTAGAAAGGAATGACATTTTTGTAACCTGGCACCAAAGAAGTATAAAGCACATACCGATGCATAACAATTGATTTATTCCTCTCCCATGACATATAGGCCTTCAGAAATAGTGAGACCCCAAGCCTGCAAGGATTTCACCGATGGCATTCATGGGAAATATATAAAGCTGATAAAACATTCGGACTTGAAACGGCTATAAATATAGGCATTAATTTAGTATATACTTTTTGTTGCATATACTCCAGTCATTTGGTAGGGTTCTTGACAATTAAAGGTGATATGGATGGGGGTGACAAATATTCAATAGTGCAACTTAATCACTGGAAAACCGCCAGTATGGTACAACCGTAATATGTCATCTCAACCCTGCTTAAACCACACAGTCACCAAAGTGACTTCATAAGTCTTTAAAGTTTCCTAAAAAGGCCCACTGCAAAAGAAGAATCATCAAATGCAGACATTTTGTAAACACAGTCTAGATTCTTACCCACAACTTGAAAATAAGACCAAAGAACAACGAAATAAAACATAAAAATAAACCGCAACCACTACTTATTACAAGAAGACTTAAAATCAGGCATTAAAATCAATATGGAGAAACTAATATATCAAAATATTAGCTAAAATTTCTTTGGACTTTAAATTGACATATGACCTTTCAAATAATTATGAAACATACAGTACAAAAAGGCCTCAAATCCACATAATTAGTATTTGATGTTTATGGTCATTATAGCCAAAACCCAACTAGGTTGAAGCTGAAACATGTTGACTCTTTCACTGAAGTCCTGGTTCAAGTGTTCAGGCCTCAACAGACAAAACTAGCTGGGAGCCCACAGCTGCTGATAGTGCATCATCCTTGTAGTGGCAGGAGCTTTGTAACTTAAGACACAACATGTAGTCACACCACGCTTTGTACAACATCAAACACACAGTCCTTTTTGCCACACATTGTGCTTTTTAAAACCCATTTGTACCTTAAGATGCTACGACCTGTACAGAACAGCAGCATGAGTAAAATGAGGGCTATCATTTAAAAATCTTCTTGAAATGTAATTCAGTGTCACTGGGAGTTCAATGGCCTCCTCTCTTGTTGCTGGGTTAGTGTGATTTTTGGTCTCAAGAGTATTAAGGAGCAGTTGAAGGAGACTGTTCAAGCAAAAGGTAAACCTGAGGTTACACAGCCTGCCGTGACGTCCATCTGAAAAGGCAGGTGTGCTCGGAAGTCGATCTGTGCACGTGTGCTCGGAAGTCGATCTGTGCACGTGTCCATGCATGATGACATATTGCATTCATCTTTGGATCACAGGATAGTATTTCATTTGGTACACTTTGGAGTATAGTTGTAATTCTGAGAACAAGTGTTACAAGTGTATTGCTTTCTCCCACTACAAGAAAGATATTATACTAGACAAATGTATTTACCACACAGTATTATCAGACTAACAAAAGCCAAACCGTAACTTAAAAAAAAACCCAGCTCTTATTAGAAAGAACAAATATTTGTGCATTTTCTCACACATTATTACAGCCATTTTCACACAAAGTATATCTTTAAAACTAGTGTTCTATATACTTTCAATATAAATCATAACACATATATTAGATGAAATCTACATGAAAATGGCCATAATCCTGTATAATAAAATTCACAATGTATGTTCATATAAATATAAAGCATCTAATGATACATTTTACAAAATGATTGTTATTTTTCTGACTGGAATCTGATATAGTTAAACTCAAAAGGAAAAGGAAAAACGTAACCGTTTTGAAGGTAAAGGATCCCAGATGGAGAATACGAAAGCTCTTGTCTCGCTAACACAAACTGGGTGCAGCAAGCTACATGGAAATTTTCAGATTTTCCCACCAGGATGTTTCTACTGAAACACTGGATACCAGTGGTTTGCTGATGTTATGATACATGAGAAATGAAAGTAGTAACAGAGTAATAGGTAAATGCAATTTCATATAACTACCATTTGTCCATCATAAATTAATGTAACATTTGCAGGGGGTCACTGACTCACTGTTCCAGCTTCTTCACATCCTAGCGGACATATAAATTGGTAGCATCATAAATTTCATCATGTGACTGATGAACATATTGTATTTAGGTTGGCATATGACTTTAAAATTGATGAGGGCCAACCAAATTCAACAGCTGGACTAATACTGTTCCTCCAAAAAAAAAAAAAAAAAAAAGTCCCCTATGAGGGGGTAGCCTCTCCAGAAAAGAGAGG